TTTAATCACTGTTGGGTGAACTTGAGTTTATAAGATATTATATATGCAATATATTTAACAGCAAAACAATATTGATTTGAATAAAATGTAAAAGGAGCATAATCAATTAAGTTAATTTAGTGACAGTAGAACATTTTCAGATTGAGATTGATGTTATCCAATTCTCCATGTCCAGACATGAGAGCTAATTCTAAGCAAATGAAATTCTTTTTTTGCAAAGTGGACTCACATATTTCAGAATCTGAGTAAGAGGCCAAACACAGTACCCCTGTAAAGGAGCTGGAGCACCCATGTGAATATGAGCCAGGATGCTCATATGAAATCATCTGAAAGTATCCATTAAGCTGAAGCCTGGATTGGGAAAGTTGAGCTGAAAGAATAGGAATGGTTTGGTTGACAGCTGTGACAGAGAAGCAGGGATTTTATTGGAAGCTCTGGTTTCCTGAGAAAGAAATTAGTATGGTTGTAGGCAATGATTTTGCACTTTTTAAAATGCATTATGAAATTACATATACTTAGGAGTAACAGTAAACCAGAAAAGCACCAAGTTCTATACTTTGCCTTTTTAAGTTTTTCTATGAAGAACACACAAGGATTCTTGTTTTCAATATATGATGTCACCAGGAAACAAACTATTCTGAATTTATTAACCGTTTTTTTATTAGATAAGGCAAAGATGCTTGGATTATTTTATAATGATAAACTATTATATAATGCTAAACTATAAACTGTCTATAGCATGGGGCATGGCCCTTAATTTCAAGGTTTAACCTGAAATCTGTGTCTACCATGTTGTTATAAAACTTTCAACAATCAATTCATGAGAATCTCAGTTTCTTTGTCTGAATATTGAGGGCATCAGAATTGATCTCAAGAGTAATTGAAAAGATTAAATGAGAAAAAATTCATAATTGTATTATAAAATAGTTTGATATCTGGTATCATATTTTATTATCTGTAAATATTTAGTTCTGTCAATGTGATATTAAACTCTGTTTCTAGTAACATTCTATGAACTTCCAAGAAACTTTGCTCTTTCTTTACCTTTATTCTTAGTAGTAATGCAGGAACCAAACTAAGATCCTGTACATATCTTATTATTTTTTTTCAAGATAATAGCCTCCTAAATTTCTAAAATATTTGATTCATTCAAATGATATTACTCTTTGTGGCAATCTCTTTCTGATTTTTAACCCAGCTTCCTCTTTTCTGTACACAAAGCTGAATTAATTTTTCAGTATCCTTAGTAGGCAGGTGTGACAATACAGCTGATTTACTGTTAATGGAACTGTTACACACAGAATTCCGGCCAGACTCTCTCACAGGAGGTTCTTTGGGTTTTTCTCATTCTGCTATCTTCTTGGAGAAGAAGAATCTACATTTTCAATATGGAAAGAGTGCAAGATGAAGAGGTTTGAAAGAGGGCTGTCCTCTCAGACCTACCTTCTTGGATTTACATGACTGAAAAGTAAACTTCAATTGTGTTTAGTTTCTGATATTTTGGAGTGTGGCTATTGTAATAATTCTTATTACATAACTAAAATATCTCTCAAGGTGAGAAAATCTCATATGTATGTACACAATTTAAAAGCCAGAAAAAAATACAAAAGTGCCTAGTGTCTGGTAAATGTGTATAGTAGTCATTTAGAAAATAATTGGCATCCAAATAGCTTCTTTTTTTTTCTTACACATTAAAACTTTATTTTCATATGGGGTTTATCTAGCTTATGAGTGGACTTTTTCCCTCTATTACTTCTTTTTTTTTAAGATTTATTTATTTATTTTTTTATAATAAATTTTATTTTTATATTCCCCATACAATTGCAACCCCCCCATTCTGACCCCAGTCCCTCCCCTCCTTCCCCCCACCCCCCAAAAAGTGTCTCTGGTTCATAGTTTTTTGTTGATTTTGATTTTCACTTTCTTACAGTTATTCATTTTCCTGGTCCCTTATTTAAGTTTTCTAGATTCCTGCTATGAGTGAGACCATCTGGTATTTTTCTTTTTCTTTCTGGCTTATTTCGCTGAGCATGATCCCTTCCAGCGCCATCCATGTTGCTGCAAATTGCATGTGTTTATCTTTTTTGAATGCTGAGTAATATTCCATGGTATATATGTACCACATCTTCTTGATCCAGTCATCTGTTTTTGGGCATTTGGGCTGTTTCCAAAGCTTAGCTATTGTAAATAGTATTATTTCTTAAGAGTAATTAGAAACTGATATGTAAATGACAGCTAAAGTAAAAATCATATCTTGCAAAGCATGAGGCTTTCATTAAGCTTTATCCATGAAGGAAAAATGAATTTTTTTTTAAAAAAATATTTATTTATTTATTTATTTATTTATTTATTTATTTATTTATTTATTTATTTATACAAGCACTGGGTACAATCAGAAGCACGGGAGGGTGAGAGAATTCACCAGAGCCAGAGCGGGGCGCAGAACAGGCAGACTGACAAAGTACATTGCTGAGGGGACCAGCGGGCGCGGCAGGAGAGGTCTGCGCACCATGTGGGACCCTCACTGGTGGCCAGGGATCGAACTGGTGCTGCAGAGGCTGTGGGCAGCTTTGCAGCCCAGCACTCAACCGCTGCGCCACTGGGGAGGCCCAGGAAAAATGAATTTATGAGAAGTATATGGGGCTTAGAATCAGCCAGACCTGGATTTAAATCCTAGTTCTAACATATTTTTTTCTCTTTTCATTATTGAATGAATTACTTACCAAGACTCAGCTATTCAGTCTATAAAATTGGAGTAATAGTAACCACATTAAAGAAATGCTGTGGAACTTAAATTATGTAATACATATAAATTATATTTCTAGGGCCTCCCCGGTGGTGCAGCGGTAGAGCCCTGGGTTGCGAAGCTGCCCGCGGCCTCTGCGGCGCTGGTTCAATCCCCGGCTGCTCCCCGGCCACCGGAGGAGGGTCCCACATGGCGTGCAGACCTCTCCTGCCGCCCGCTGCTCCCCTCAGCAGTGTACTTCGGTCCTTCTGCCTGCTCTACTCCCTGCTCTGGCTCTGGTGAATTCTCTCACCCTCCTGCGCTTCTGACTGTACCCAGTGCATGTATAAACAAAACAAACAAATAAATAAATAAATAAATAAAAACATGCCTCTATTAAAAAAAAAAAAAAATTAAAAAAAAAAAAATAAATTATATTTCTATATTGTTTTTATATATTCTATATTTATATATTCTATATTAAATATATTCTATATTTATATGTTCATGAAATATATGAATTATAAGAGGAGAGGAATTAGCATTTACTGAGTGTGCTTTATGTGTCAGTCACTGTGGCTAAGTGTCTTTAAAGATGGACATTTAATTTAACATCCCCTATAGTGTTTTACCAGTTGATCAACTTGAATCCCCTCAGAAAAGCCTATCTTCACATGTTTCAGTTAAAAAGGAGTCTAATATAATAATTAAGACTTCACAGTGGTAGAAAAAACTGAAGCTTGAAGGGAGAAGGTCAAGAAGGCTATGGTAGGAATGGGAAAGCACTAACCTATTTCACTTCTTCCTATGGCTAGGAAAACCACAGATGGGAAACTCAAGTCTCAGAAATTCTACAACTAAGTGAAAGTTCAAAGAAAGCTCTACAAAGCTACTTTACCTGTTCAAACCACCCCCCCCCCAATAAAGGTCCTTGTCTATGACCCATATATATTTCTCAATCTTAAATGAGTTCTCTTTGGCAAACTTTAAACTGGAACCACAACAAAGAGAGTTCTCGGAAAAGCAATTCCCAGTCTTAGTCAGAATTCTAACACCAATGCTGATGCTGACCTGTATATAGCATTTTCCCCTTAACACAGGAATGGAAGAGAAGAAGAAATTTTAGTAGAAAAAAAAAATATGTGCCTGGCATTAACTATGTTCCAGGAACAATTCATAAAAGTGTTATATTTACATTCACTTAATTGTCCCAAGCTCTCTTCCTGTTTTACATTTCAGATTATTAGGGGTAAACCAGTTGAAACAACTTGAACAAGATCTGGAGTTCCTAAATTGTACAGCCAAGATTCAAGTCCTGCTCTTTATGAAATCAGAGCTTGTGTTTCTTTCATTTTTATTTTTAATTCATTTTATTATTTATGACATAGTTACATGTAAATTGGCAGAACTGTTCCCATGACAGTCAGGATAGAAGCTTTAACCATTTTAACTTTGAATGGATATTTTTATTTTTTTATTTTTTAAAGATTTATTTATTTATTTATACAAGCACTGGGTACAGTCAGAAGCGCGGGAGGGTGAGAGAATTCACCAGAGCCAGAGCGGGGAGCAGAGCAGGCAGAAGGACTGAAGTACAATGCTGAGGGGAGCAGCGGGTGGCAGGAGAGGTCTGTGCGCCATGTGGGACCCTCCTCCAGTGGCCGAGGAGCAGCCGGGGATCAAACTGGCACCGCAGAGGCTGCGGGCAGCTTCGCAACCCAGCGCTCAACTGCTGCGCCACCGGGGAGGCCCTGTATCACATTCTTTTAATCCACTCATGTGTCCTTGGGCACTTAGATTGTTTCCATACCTGATTATTGCAAAAAAGTGCATGGTTTGTGCTCTTAAAAGGTAGAACCAGAAATCAAATTCTGATGTTTAATTACAAAATCTAGGCTATTGATACCTTCATCACTTCTATGATAGAAAACTTAGAGTTATTTCCTCTAGTATATTTGTTAAGATAGATGTTACAGAAATCTATAATTTTATAAAATTAATTTATACAAATGTTTAAAAATTTGGTATATATGAGAGTCAGTCAGGTAAGTTTAAAAAAATCAAATAAATAACTCCACTAAGATGCATACCTGGAACTTAGAGTGATTGTTGTAGACTAAATTATGTCACCTACCCCCAATTTATATTGAAGCCCTAACCTATGGTATGATTGTATTTGGATATAAAGTCTTTGAAGGGGCAATTAAGATGTGATGAAGGGCTATTATAAGACCCTAAGCCACTGTTACTGTTGTCTTTATAAGAAGAAGAGATACTTTTCCTCCTGGCTGCCTGAAGATCCACCGCCATCATGAATGACACAGTGACTATCCGGACTAGGAAATTCATGACCAACCGACTGCTTCAGCGAAAACAAATGGTCATTGACGTCCTTCACCCCGGAAAGGCAACAGTACCTAAGACAGAAATTCGGGAAAAACTAGCGAAAATGTACAAGACCACCCCTGATGTCATCTTTGTATTTGGATTCAGAACCCATTTTGGAGGTGGCAAAACAACTGGCTTTGGCATGATTTATGATTCCTTGGATTATGCAAAGAAAAATGAACCCAAACACAGACTTGCAAGACATGGCCTTTATGAGAAGAAAAAGACCTCAAGAAAACAGCGAAAGGAACGCAAGAACAGAATGAAGAAAGTCAGGGGGACTGCAAAGGCCAATGTTGGCGCTGGCAAAAAGTGAGCTGGAGATTGGACAACAGAAGGAGTAAAGATTCTGCAGTGACTTTATCTGTATCTGTGGTGATTATGCAGATTTTTCATGCAGATTTTTCATGCGAGGATTAATAAAACCTTTTATGTGTCTGGCAAAAAAAAAAAAGAAGAGATAGTAGGAATGTAAGCTTACAGAGAAAAGGTCATAAGATCATATGAGGAATAAGAGTGACCATCTTCAAACCAAAAGAAGATACCAATTAAAGAGAAATTACATTTACTCACACTTGCATATCTTTGCTGTATTTGAGTCTTTTAAGTTTTATATATTTTCTATTTTGTTCTTGGACTTCTAGAAAAGTCCAAAGAGAAATAAATTTCTTTTATTTAAGCTACATAGTTGAATGTATTTTGTTATAGAAGTCCTAGTAGAATAATATGAGAATCTTAACATAGGTTGGACGAGAGGATATACATTGAGGTGATGGGAAGCACTTTTAATTTCACACAAAAGTATATTTCTTTCTTTAAGTAATATCATTATCAGTCAGAATTCCATTGTAGGTGATAGAAATCAGTCTACCTAGCTAAGAATAAAAGGATAGTCAAGAAAAATCTCAGCTAATATAATATTTAATTGTAAATGATTGAATGATTTACTCTAAGATCAGCTACAAGACTAGGATGTCTATTCTCAGAACTTTTATTTAATATATTGCTGGTTACATAGTGCAAATATGTAAGAAAGTGAAACAAAAACCAGTTTGATTACACAGGAAGAAGTGAAATTGTCCTTACTCACGAATGAAATGGTCTTTCTTGCCTTGTGGAAATCTGATGGAATCAACATAATAGTTACTACATTTCTCAGTGAGTTTAACAAATTTTCATGATAAAAGATAAAAAAATTTAAGTATTACTCATTTTAATATACTAGTAGTGAACAGCTGGAAATCAGAATTATATATAATATGATGCACAGTGACATGAAAATATGAAATATTTAGGGAAAAATCAGATCCTAGATTTGTCAATATGTATTCTACTTTCTTGAACATATGGAATATGGTGGCAGCAACTGTGTTAATGTCCTAGCCTACTAATTTTGCCATCTGTGCCAAATGGGGGACTGTTTTTGATTAACTATTGTCCTCATTATGAGACATATTTTCCTGTTTCTTTGCACACCTGGTGAATTTTTTACTTTGTTGTGTGCTTTGCACACCTGGCAAATTTTTTACTTTGTTGTGTGCTTGATATATTTACATTTAAACTTTTGTTTGATTCTAGATTGAGATTAAATTACTTGTAAACAGGTTTTACCTTTCAGTTCCTGATAGTTTCCTTAATGGAGACCAGGCTGAATTTAAAATCTGGGGTTAATTACTCCTCCATCTTTCATACACCTAACTGAGGTAAAACCCTTCTCAAAACTCTACCTACCCTATGCATTATAAGGCTTTCCATTCTGGTTAAAAGAAATTATTTCTGATTCTGTGTAATATTTAGGGATTTTTTTTCCAATCTTTTCCCCTTGGTTTTTTCGTACTACCTCTTGCAGTTTCCTCATTATTTACTCATCACTACTCAGTTGGAGACTCAAGGGAACCCTCTGAAGATCTCAAGATGGAGTCACCTTGGTCTTCCAGGCTCTTGGTTCCATCTCCCTAAGTTGCTACACTCTGCCTGAGATGCCTTCCTTGAGCAATGTAGAATCCCTCAAACACTTATTTGGGGAAGTTGAAAGGCTCAAATTATCTGTTTCCCATCTCTCAGGATTCATTCTTCTTTTAGAATGGTGTCTTGAAAATTTAGTAATAACATACTTTTCCTTTGATTTTTTAATTGTTGCAAAGTAGAAGATTAAATCTGGTTCCAGTTACCTATCTTGGCTAAAGATAGAAATATCAAAGGATTTTTGATGCTGCTAAAAAATAATTTATTCAACAGGGCATATATAGTCAAGAGGAACAAATCCTGAGACAAGGAATCTGAAAATATGGTCCTACTCTACTTTGCCCATTTAGAAGCTATAACCAGGGGCAATTCATTTAGTTTTTCTGGGCTTCAATGTTCTCATCTTTGGAATTAAAGTATTATTATCTGCCATTTCTGCTCTACACTGTTATTGTGAGGCTTCAGTGGCATGGTTAGATTTTTTTTTTTTAAGATTTATTTATTCATTTATACAAGAACTGGGCACAGGCCAGATGCGTGGGAGGGTGAGAGGATTCACCAGAGACAGAGCGGGGAACAGAACAGGCAGACTGACTAAATACACTGCTGAGGGGAGCAGCGGGCGAGACAGGAGAGGTCTGCCGCACCATGTGGGACCCTCGCCAGTCGGCCGAGATTGAACGGGCGCTGCAGAGGCTGTGGGCAGCTTCACAGCACGGCACTCAACCACCTGCACCACCAGAGGAGGCCTGGTTAGACATTTTAAAAGAAAATATTGTAGGCATTTCTATAGTAAGAAAACTGATCCTATAAATATTAGAATGTGCATTGGAAAGAAAATGAACTTCTGCTTCAGAATTATGAACTTAAAAATTGTTTCTGCTATTTATTAGGTACTTGACAACTTAATTAAACTCTCTGAATCTCATTTTCCTCTATTTAAAATGAAAATAACTGTACCCACATTGAAGAGTTATTATAGAAGTTTAAAAAGAAAATATATACAACATTCATAGCAAAATACACATGACAGAATGTCAATAAATGTGCTAATTCTTGGATTGTATAATGGAGAGTGAAAACAAAAGAGAAGCAGCTGTGGAAAACATAGACAACTCTGCACACAGATGACACCTATTTGTGATACCTATTTGGACTTCTTTTTCTGAAAACTAGGTGTCAGAGCCACTATCAATATACATAGCGTCTTTGTATAAATTATAAATTGAAGGCTCCTGTGAGAACAATTTATAAAAAAGATGTTTCTTGCATCAAGTGATACAGCCATTTAAGAGCAAAATATAAACTGGATTTCAACTTTTCCCTTCCAGGGACAGATTTCTCTGTGCAGTGCACAAATTGTATAGCTTGATATGGACGCTCTGGTTGAAAGAGCTTCTGGTGTATATTCTCATTACACTGTCACCTGCATGGTTTCTTGCTCAGATTCTATGGTATCAAAAAAAAAAAAAAAAAAAGGAATAATCTGAGAATAGGCTGCAGTTGACATTTGGTCCTGAGATATTTAGAAATGCACTTTTCCTGAACCCCAAAAAGAAGTTGTGGAGGAGAATGTACTATTATATTTGGGAGATGTTAGTAGCAAAATATATTTTTCCATGGAATCTACTCAAGTGCATGCTAAATAATGCAGAAATTCTAATTACATATTGGTTACCTAAAACAGGTATTTTCTTCTAAAAAAAGATATAAAGACATAAAACTTTTTTTTTAGAACATGATCTCCTTCTTACTTTGGGAGAATTTAAAATGGTGGGGAGCCCTCAGATAAATTTGCTGCATTCAGATTGCAGTGAAATATAATGTTAAGCGTGGTGGTGAGATTTTTAAAAGTCAAGTAATTAGAGTTCTTGTTAGAAGCCTAACTGTGTGGGATCTGTTTATTTGAAAAGAAGAGGTAACATAAATGAGAAGAAAGTAGTAGTAGGCTGCCAAAAGCTGACAGTATTCCAATCAGAAACTATCAGTATTTATGAAAAAGCAACAACACAAAAAAGTCATAAATCTGTCTTTCAGTGCTGTAAGGATTATGAATAAACATTCTGTTTTGCTGACATTTGTATGCAAACAGTAGTTTCAAAAAATTTCATAATTATTTACAAAATATCTAAACCTACCTTTATTCATTTACTCACATATCCAAACACTTACTGAAAATTAACATAGCATTCTTTAACTTTCTGCATCATTTCTGCACTCACCATCACATCTAATTTCTAAATAAGTGTTTATAAATAAAAATTCTTTAACAGGGCCTCCCCAGTGGCACAGTGGCTGAGCGCTGGGTTGCGAAGCTGCCCACAGCCTCTGCAGCACCAGTTCGTGATCCCCGGCTGCTCCCCGGCCACAGAAGGAGGATCCCACATGGCACGCAGACCTCTCCTGCCGCCCGCTGCTCCCCTCAGCAGTGTACTTCGGTCCTTCTGCCTGCTCTGCTCCCCGCTCTGGCTCTGGTGAATTCTCTCACCCTCCCGCACTTCTGACTGTACCCAGTGCTTGTATAAATGAATGAATGAATGAATCTTAAAAAAAAAATTCTTTAAAATTTTTTTGTCATTGGCTCCTCACCATTTGAAATTATTTCCCAAACACCCATTAGAATTCCTTTTATTAATGTTAAGAGTGATGCAGAGGTTTCTAATTTCAATAGTTCTTCCCTCTACTCATTTAATCAATTTCTCAATAGTATTCAAAAGAGTTGACCACGTCTTCCATATTTTAAAGTTATTTTTTCTTGAAAGCAGTTATAGGTTCCAACAAAACCAAAAGGGTGAAAATAGATTTCCTATATACTCCTGTACCCACACATGCAAGCATCCCCCATTATAAATAACTCATATTAATATGGTACATTTGTTACAACTGATGACCTATGTTGACACATCATTATCACTCAAGGTTCATGGTTTATGTTAGAGTTAACTCTTGATGTTACACATACTATGGTTTTGGAAAAATGTATAGAGATGAAACCAAGCAAACCTAGGAGGAAGGGGGATAACCCCGCTGGTGGGTCTTTACCTCGAGCTTATGAATATAGGGTACAAACCAAAGAAGGACACACATGGAGAAACAATAACAACAGAATTTATTCACAGGGAGTGAGGATATAGAGAACCAAAGGTGAAAAAAAAAGAGTTCACAGGTCTGCAAATGCAATCTGTTCTATCCTAGATAGTGTCCATGTTGCAAGTCCAAGTCAAAAGTCACATGTGCAGGGCCTCCCTGGTGGTGCAGGGGGTTGAGCACCACACTGTGAAGCAATCTGCAGCCTCTGCAGCACGAGTTCAATCCCTGGCTGGCCAGGGAGCAACCCACATGGCACAGCAAACCTTTCCTGGCTCACCCACTGCTCCCCTCAGCAGTGTACTTCAGTCGATCTGCCTGTTCTGTTCCCCACTCTATCTCTGGTGAGTCCTTTCACCCCCTGCATCTCTGGCCTGTACCCCAGCTCTTG